CCGGTGTCTCTGGAGCAACGGCTTCCCCTCGAACTTGGAGGACACCACCAGGACTCGGAAGCTGGACGCGCAACGGTTCAGAGTCGTGTCCTCCACCTCCTGTGGAGTAGAACAGGGTGGCAGGTGCCGAATCTGCTCCCCAGGAGCTCTTTTTCCTTCGTCTGGGGGCCCTGGGCCGCTCAACTCACCACGTGCTCCGCTTCCAGCTCCCGCTGCAGCTTCTCCCGGAGAAAATCAGCGCTGAGATCCATTGCTGCAGCCCGGAGTGGGCGGCAGCCCGGGGGACCGGAGCCCAGCAAGGACCCGGCCACACTGCTTCCGCCCTTACCGGCGCCACTTCCGTCGAGGAATCTACTTCCGCCCTTACTAAAAGGTCTGCAATAGACGCACTTCCGCTCTCAGGCAAGCCCATCTTTCAAACAGCCAAAGATTTCCGCCTTTATCAGCAGCTAGCCAATCAGACTCTGCTCAAGCAACCGCGAGTGGAGCCTTTGGATCTTTTGGATTGGGTCGTGTGAATGGGTTTGGACATCCTTGCTTCGTCCAGGCGAGGGGACATGGACGCCAATTGGTATGGCCTCTTGAGTGCGTCAGGATCGTTCCAAAGAACGTTTCCTGGGACTAGCGTCTCGCATTCTTAGCAACCTAACCGGGGCTTCCCCAGGGTCAAAGGCCACAGCAGTCAACCTCCAGCGACCGCCCAGGACCCATCAGTCCCGATGGGCCCCGCAGAGGGCACAGCAAGGCCAGGGCGCTTCTTCGGTGTCTACTTGCTCTATTGTCTGAACCCTCGGCATCGGGGCCGCGTCTACGTGGGCTTCACTGTCAACCCCGCCCGTCGGGTTCAACAGCATAACGGAGGCCGCAAGAAAGGCGGGGCCTGGCGGACCAGCGGGCGAGGGCCCTGGTGAGAGGGGGCGGGCTTTAATAGAGGAGGCGTGGCTGTGGGCGTGGTATGCGGGGCCTGGGCGGAGCGGGCTCCGTGAGGGGGCGGGGCTTAGGCGAGGAGGTGGGCTTCGTGGAATTAGACACGGGGCTTAGAGGGGATTGGTCAGAAAAATGCCTGTGGAAGGGTCAGAGGATTGAGGCTGTCAGGTGACAGGAGGCCCAATGACCAACTCTGGGGTTGGAATTGAGCCTAAATGGAACAGGACTGGGGAAAGCCTTGAGGGTGGCAGGTGCGAGGGGACACTGAAGTCCACTCCCCTCTCGAATAGTGTGGGAAAGGGGACAGGGCAGCACCATGGCTTGAGTAGGACTCGCCTTGACGCGCGGTGGGGCCACTCACAGCCCGCGTTTTCCTTCCCAGGGAAATGGTGCTCATCGTGCACGGCTTCCCATCTGCCGTGGCCGCCCTGCGGGTAAGAGAGGAGGCAGGGGCGGCGGGCGGGAGGGTGGGCGCGCCGGGCCCTGACTCACAGCCGCTCTCCCACCGCAGTTTGAATGGGCCTGGCAGCACCCGCACGCCTCGCGCCGCCTGGCACACGTGGGCCAGCGCGCGCGCAGCGAGGCCTCCTTCACCTTCCACCTGCGCGTGCTCGCGCACATGTTGCGCGCGCCACCCTGGCTGCGCCTCCCGCTCACCGTGCGCTGGCTGCGCCAGGACTTCCAGCAGGACCTCTGTCCGCCGCCGCCTCCACACGTGCCGCTGGCCTTTGGGCCGCCACCACAGTGTGGCCCCCGGCGGGGAGCCGCGCCCAATGGCGACACCAAGTCCAGCGATGTGGACACTGAGGCTCACTGTGCCCTGTGCACCGGAGCGTTCCAGGTGAGAGCCATCCCAGGCCTAATGACATAAGACCAAGCTGACCTGACGGAGCCACTTGCCCTTTGACCGCGGTGCCTCCACCTCTACAACAGAGATGATATATTAGCAGCTCCATGCCCCAACACCCAGCCTCACCCGTCTCAGGACCTTTGGCCTTGCCCATTACCTGGAAGGAGAGTCTTCCCTAGAATGCCACCTTCTCAGTGAGGTGCTTCTTAGCTCTGCATCTAACATTGCTACCTTCAAATATACTTCCTTTTATTTAAAAACAAAACACCAAGGTAATCACATAAAGAATTCACCAATAACCATTTAAGGTGTATACCAGGTGGATTGACAGTGTGACTGCTGCCATGGGCTCTTGTGTGTCAAGATGGCACAGGACAGAACTAGGTTCATATTTTTTTAAATTTTGTGTGTGTATGTGTGTGTGTGTGTGTGTGTGTGTACCGTCAAATCGGATCTGACTGGTACGGGAGGAGATTGCCCAACCTTCTCCAGCAGAGCCTCTGGTGGATTTGAGCAGCGTGCTGTTAGGGACCTCTCTAAAGTACTCAAGAGCAACAGTGTCTCTCTGGAGACTAAGGTCCCCCTGATACAGGCCATGCTCTTTGCAATCACTTGTTATGCATCAGAGAGTTGGACAATGACTAGGGAGGACAGAAGGAGAATTGACACCCTTGAGCTGTGGTGCTGGAGAAGAGTATTGAATGTACCATGGACGGCCAGGAAAACAGATTCATCTTGGAGAGGATTAAACCAGGCTACTCCTTGGAGGCAAAGATTCTAGGGCTTCATCTGACATACTTCGGACATGTTTTAAGGAGAGACAGGTCTTTGGAGAGGGACATCATGCTAGGCAGAGTGGAGGGAGAGCGCAGGAGGGGAAGACCCTCTATGAGGTGGACTGATTCAGTGACTGGGGTAATCAGGATGGGTGTGTCAGAGGCAATACGATTGGCACAGGATAGAGCAGGGTTTAGGGCTGTTGTACATAGGGTCACTGAGTCACAAACGACTCGATGGCACCTAACAACAACAACAGTCTAGAGAGCGCTCTGCTGGCATAGTGTTGAGTGAATTGTACCTCTAACCCTCAAGCGTGGAATTCGATACAGTCATAATACTGGGCAGCCGTCATCTCTTTCTCATCCCCATCACCCCTGAGGGAGCTGGCACCCATTAAGCAGTCATTCCATGTCCCTCTGCTCCTAGCAACCATTCATTTCCTTTTTGTCTCTGAATTTGCCTGGCCTGATTTAAGTCCATTGTGAGTTCACGGCAAACCCAAAGGTGGCTTTTGGCAGTTAGAATCCACCAGGCCCTCTGTGAGAGAAAGATTTTCTAGGCTTCAGATAAATCCTACTTTCCTTTCATCAGCTGATACATTCCTTACGGTTTTTACCATGAACACTTACTTTACATACCATAGTTCCACTTTTTTTTTTTAATCACCCTCTTCCACCCCTCATACTAAATTCCAGAAGGGGAGTTCATACCCACTGCTGGAGCAGAGCAAATATTTTTTTATAAATAGGAACTGAGAGGAAGGCCCTGGCTTCTACATCTCAATGCACAGAGGTTAAATCACACTTGCATTGAGTTTCTCTGATGGTGTGAGACCACTGAGCCCATGAGGAACTAACTGCAGGTCTGGCTACAGCAGCCAGGCTCCTACATAATCAAGTATGCATTTTAGCCTCAGTATCTTGGCTTCTTCCATCTCTACCTAAGATTCTGATAATAGTAGTACCTGTTTCATAGGGTGTTTTTATGTAAAGCCTTTTGGCAAGTGTATCGCCTATAGAAGTGCTTTGTGAATGTTAGCCGCCTCATCAGCGTCTTCTCTCTCACCTGCCTGTCAACTCTAACAGGATGAAGAAAGCCCCCTGTGCTGCCCCCATCCCGGCTGCCCTCTAAGAGCCCATGTGATCTGCCTGGCAGAAGAGTTCCTTCGAGAGGAGCCAGGGCAACTTTTGCCCCTAGAGGGCCAATGCCCCAGGTGAGTCCTACATTCCTGTACCAACCCAGTCTAGCTGTGGCAAGAGGGTGCCCAGTGCCCTAAGGCCAGGCCGGACTTGCTGAGTCCCAACCTTGGGACCCAGAGCCTGACTGGAGGCAGCATGTGATTCCCGACTCGGCATTTCCTTGGTAGCTGCCGGAACTCGCTGCTGTGGGGAGACCTTATCCGACTGTGCGGAATGGGAACCGAGGAGGATGAGGAAGACTGGGAGTTAGAAGAGGTGAGAGATGCCCCTGGCCCCAACTCTCCCACCAACTTAGCCATCTAGGCAGCCTCGAACCTGCTCTCTCTTCTCCACAGGAACACTGGACGGACATGCTGGAGAACTGACCCAGTGTCCCCAAACCCCGCTCCTTTTCTTTACCACATTGTGTTTTAATTATGTACAATAAAATGTCTTGAGTTAAGGATTGTTGTTTTTATATGCTGTTGAGTTGGAACCAACCCATAGCTGACCCTCCAGAGGGTTTTCAGACAGTAAGTCACATGGGAGGATAGTGCCCATCCACCCACAGAGTGGCTGGTGGATTCAGACTGCATGCCTTTTGGGATTGCAGCAAAGCTTTTTGTTTTAAAAACCCGGATTGTTTTATTAGTACCAGCAGGGTGGCCTCTGTGGGTGCTGGGTGGGCTAGATCAGGGTGTATTTGAGCATGAGGAGTCTACGGTGACTGAGGGGCTGGAGAGAAGGGGCTGCTGGGATTGGAGGCCAGGCTCCAGGATGCTTCAGGTTTGCTAGTGGACATGCTTGATGAAAGAGTCGTGGCAGGTCTGAGCAAGACCACTAACAAGATTAAGAAATTCTTGGAAATCTAGTTTCTTGTCAGAGTTTAGGTCCAGTTTCGTCATCATGCGGTCAGGGACACCAGGGTCCTTCTGGTTCTTTGTGAAGGCAGTCAGTTCTGTATCCATGAAGTTCAGGAACTCCCTCTTGGAGAGGGTACGGTGGTGACCATCCTGTCCAGTGTACTTCTGGAACACATCAGTCAATTCACTGCTTGGGGGGGGGGCGAGGGGGGAGGCCCGGCTAGTGACTTGCTATGTGGCAGCGGACCAGAGCACAGTGGCTGTGTGTAGATTGGGGCAGCGGGGAGTGTCTTACCATCAGAACTACCAAAATCATTCGGGAACAAGTTGCTTGTCTTTGTCTGCATGAGTCTCTGGTTGATTCAAACTCCTTGCCTTTCAGTCGGATGCATAACTCTTTACCACTAAAGCTTATTTCTCTATAGCTTCTACTTTTTCAACTTTTAAGATAAACTCTTCGTAGACTCACTCTGCATCCAGCTGTGGTCCCAGGCCCAGTGCTTTTTCTGTCTGCCAGAGAAACCATCCGGGCTGCTGTGAGCTCCTCAGCCTGTCTGAGGGGACGCTGCTGCCCAGGGACAAGTGCCAGAAACGGGGGGAGGAAGAATATAAACTCTGCATTCTAATACCTCCACTAAAGCCCTGGGATCCGAAGGAAAATATAAAACAAAGCAAAAGTCACCAAGCCCTGACCATCATCTCTCTTTGGGATGTTACCAGGACTTGGGAAGCTCTGTCTTTGCCTTTTTTCAGTAAGCTCTAAGCCCTTGCAGAACTCTGTCTCCTGTGACAGTGTCCCTAACATTATAGGATCCCTTCTGGTTTGCCATGGGTGAGTAGGGGTGAAGAGGAGGCAGAGAGCCCACCTGCCAACAGCACTGAGCTGAGTGGGGAGGAGGAGGGGACTGTGGGCCCACATGAGATCCCTTCTGACCCCTTCTCCTTTGTCCTAAGCCCCTGACCTCTGCTTTCTCCAGTGTGTGACTCTGCGGGATTTACGTGGAGTGGCACGTTGGAGGCGGCCTCTGGCTTCACCGGGAGGGAGGAGGATCTGTATGAACAGATGCAGCTCAAGGCTCACTCCTCTGGGGCAGAGGTCAAACCTGGCTTCCCTCTAATCTTCTCCCCACCAGCTCTGACACCTGCCCCTCCATGGCACTGTCTGTTCACTCTGACAAGTCATTGCAATGGCCACGCAGTCCTCACACACAGTCTTCATGAGGTTTATTAGAGAAGTTGTTGATCGCCTTCGAGTTGAGCACAACCCATAGCGACCCTATGAACAAAAGGCCTGAAGCTCCTCTACAACTATGGACATTTATCAAAGTTCATGTAGTTTCCAGAGGCATGTTGTTTAGGAAGTAGATGCCACTTCTGCTTCCAAACCTATCATAGAATGTTACTGGTTAAGCCACCTGCGATGTATAGCGACCCTAATACAGCAGCTCTGTCCTGAGCCAGTCTCACTAATTCTGACACACCAACCCCCATCGCCTCAGTCACTGTATCAATCCATCTCATCGGGGTCTCCTCCTGTGCTGTCGGTCCACCCTTCCGAGCATGATGTCCTTCTCCAAGGACTGATCTCTCCTGACTACGTGCCCAAAGTAAGTGAGGCGGAACTTCAAAATCCTAGCCTCCAAGGAGAGACTTGGTTTCACCCTCTCCAAGACAGACCCATTTGTTTTCTTGGCGGTCTATGATATGTTCAAGACCCTTCTCCAGCACCACAACTCTAAGGAATCTATACTTCTGTCATCTTTAATTATTGTCCAATTCTCTGAGGCATAACAAGTAATTGAGAATACCATGACCTGGATCAGGCGCACCTTTGTATTTAGACTGACATCATTGCTCTTCAGTATTCTGGAGAGATCCATGACAGATTTTCCCAATGCAATTTGTCTTTTGATCTCCTGACTGCTGGTGTTAAGAGTGTTGATTGTACCACGTTGTAATTCAGGATACTGTTCAATGATTCAGTTTTTCTATCAGGACAGCCTACTCTCAGCCCCCAGGCATTCCTCCTGCCAGGCACAGGCCGGCCTCTGCTCTGCTCAGGAAATGATGCAAAGTTCTTTAGTTCTGCCACTCAGAGCCCGGAGGCACTCCGCTCTGCAGCAGGCCTCCGGTCTAAGCAAGGATCCTCTGCTCTCTTCCTCTTGGGCCTGAACGCCCCACTGTTCCCTACTCTGCTGCTCTCCAGTGCGGGGACCCCAGGACTCCAAAACCCCAAAGGTCATGTTCTGCTTCTATTATCTTCCTGGTCGTGGTGGTCCACCAAACACCCCGGGAATGGATGGCAAGACTGACTTAAGGTCCTCCTTAGCATTCTGCACACCTTACTTACATGCGCCCACCTCTACAATGCAGCCATCAATCTTAGCTGCGTGATCAGAACACTAGCCAGTCCACTTGGGCCACAGCCCTCATGGCAGAGTCAGTAAGCAGCTGTGCTAATTCAAATTCACTTTGGCAGTTCGAACCCACCAGTGGCTCCTCAAGAGAAAGATGGGAGATATCCTCCCATGCAATTTAGTCTCAGAAACCCAGGAGAGGGTCAGCTCTGAGCTGGTAAAGGGAGAGATCTAGCCATGTGGTTAAGAAAAAGACTAGAACTGGAAGGGCTCTATAGTGTCGTTCACTGCACCGCCCCTTGGGAAACGGCCTTTACTCAACTCCACCCACTGCTACTGCCTCTGGACTTTAAACACGTGAAAACAGAAGCAAGGAGGGTGTGCTCCGCCCCCCTTGTGGAGCCCTGGGAGTCTCCAGCCCCCTATCTCTTGCCTCCCAGGGAACCCCTTTCAAGCCCAGAAGCAAAGCACCTTCTGGGGGCCACTTATTCCTCCACCACCAATAAGTGAGGCAGGATCCCCCTCATTTTAAGGATGACAAGGGTATGGAGCTGGGGCTTACTCCGGACTCTGAAAACCCAGCCTTCTTCCTTGTTCCTGTGCTGCTCTCCTGTGCTCTGAACGCCTCACTCGGTGCAAACCCCATCATTCTGGACCAGCCCTGCAGTCAGGACCTGCAATTCCTGGAAAAGTTTAGGCTTCTTGGGGCATCTTGGCAACTACCTGCTGGGAATTCTCGGTGTGTAGCCCAAAGGTCCTGTCCCTGTGTTTTTGCAGAAGTATCCCTCCTTCTCTCTCCTACCTCTTCCCTTGACTGAGTCAATCCAAAAAAATCTCTTAGCCTTGTGGGAACAGAGTCCCGGGGCAGTTCTGCAGCCAGGATTAGAGCATATGACAAAAAAAAAAAAAGAACAAAAAACAAAAACCCTCCACCATTCCAGCACCAACTGGGCCCTTCTGCCTTAGTTTCACTCTTGATGACCTTTCGGTTCAATCTGTCCAGCAGCCTAATGGTCCCCGGGTCCCCCCACCCCAAACTCCACCCTTTCCTGCTGGGAGGACTGCCAAATCCCAGCTGTAACTGGCTCCAGGTCCCTCCCACTATGGATTTATAAAACATTCTGCTTGGGGAGCAGTTCTGCTCTCACGCTGCACCTACTTAAGCCGCTGCACACAGAGACGGTCACAGGCCAGGATCCCAGGGCATCAGGTGAGGACTGGGCTGGGGCACTCAGCTAGCAGGATCTCAGGGTGCAGGGGACCACTCTGCTCCTGCCTTCAGTGGTCCCCACCTTCTTCCAGGACTGCCCTATCTCAACACTGTCACTCTGCTGCCCTATTCTGCTGAGTGGAGTGTTCCTCCACTTACCAAGCTCGCTCTCCCCAACTGTCTGTGCTCATCCCAGAGCAGAGGTCACGGGCCTGACCTGTGGGAAGGGTTCCATCCCTGGGGGGCCCAGGAGCTTACAAGCTGTAGCAGGAAGTAAGTAGTAAGAGGAAGAAAACTGGCTTGTGAGTGAGGACGGTAGGTGCGGGGTAGTTGTTTTCTTCCAGGCACTTTGGAAGCAGAGTTTAGGCTCCGTTTATAAAAAACCTAGCTGCTCCCAAACCCAGAAACCCACTCCCATGCCATCCAGTCAATTCCAGCCCCTAGTGACCTTCTCGGGCAGAAGAGAACCCTTGCTAGGGGTTTCAACACTGTTATCTTCATGGAAGCAGGCTGCCTCAACTTCCTCCCAGCTGCTTCAGCCAAGGGCTTAACCACTGCACCTCCAGGACACCTTGTCATCATTCCCCCCTCCCCCAGAGGCACTTAGCTGTGGGGCCTGGGCATCTAGACTGCTCTGCAGGTGTGAGAAATGTGCAGCCAGGACTGTATCCAGGGGGCTGGAGTCAGAGCAGCTGGGCCCCTTGCTATCTCTGTGCACTTGGCCGCCTCCCTCAAGAATGCAGCACGAGGCACTGTTTGTTGTGTTACTCTCTAGGGAAGTGGGCCACACACTCGGCAGCATGGAGCTGGTCCAGGACACCTCCCGCCCACCCCTGAAGTACGTGAAGGGGATTCCGCTTATCAAGTACTTCGCAGAGGCGCTGGGGCCACTGGAGAACTTCCAAGCCTGGCCCGATGACCTGCTTATCAGCACCTACCCCAAATCTGGTAGGTGCTCCGGGTCCTCCCTATCCACCTAGCTGTCACCTCCACCTTGGGCCAGCAGACCGACTCGTTCTACCTCTGCAGGCACCACCTGGGTGAGCGAGATCCTGGACATGATCTACCAGGGTGGCGATATGAAAAAGTGTCAAAGGGCCCCCATCTTCATACGTGTGCCCTTCCTTGAGTTCAAGGCCCCAGGGCTCCCCACAGGTATGTAGGTGGGTGTTAGACAAGGTGCTGGAGATGGGGGGCCAGTGCTTCAATTCACTGGGCCTTTCGCTGCCTACGGTTTAGGTGTTGAGACTCTGAAGGATACACCCGCCCCCCGGCTCCTCAAGACGCACTTGCCTCTGGCCCTGATCCCCCAGGACCTGCTGGATCAGAAGGTTAAGGTGAGTCGCAGAGGAGCCAGGGAAGGGGACTGCTGCTGAGACCACTCCAGCCCTGCTCCTCTGGGATCCCCACTTCTCCGAGCCTTGTCTTATCTTAAGCAGGGAGCCATCTGCCTCAGGCTTGGGTTGGGACTAGAACCACGGAAGGGAGAGCCTTCCTGACAGACTTGAGAGCAGAGCAGGGGGCGGATCACAGGTCAGGGAGAGGACAGAGGAGGTACTTCGTGCTCCAACTCTGGGTAAAGGGGTGCTGACTGGGATGAGGTCCCCATCTCATGTTCCCAAGGTGCCAGGGCTTTAACTTCAGATTGTAGCGTGGCACTGCACTCAGACAAGTCAGCCACCATCTAAATGTCAGTTTTCTCCTTTGCCAAATCGACAGGACTGTGGCAGGGATGCTAAAGGGTGGCGGGAGGCCCTGGTGGGGTGGATGGTAATGGTGCTGGGCTGTCTACCCATCCAGGTGATCTATGTGGCCCGCAACGCCAAGGATGTGGTTGTTTCCTATTACCACTTCTACCAGATGGCCAAGGTGCACCCTGAACCCGGCACGTGGGATAGCTTCCTCGAGAAGTTCATGGCTGGGGAAGGTGGGTTTTTACCGTGGAAGGAGGGGACTTGGGGCAGGAAACTGAGGGGCAGCAAACTGAAGTGAGCCACCTTTCCCCAGTGTCCTATGGGTCCTGGTACCAGCACGTGCAGGAGTGGTGGGAGCTGAGTCACACTCACCCTGTTCTCTACCTCTTCTACGAGGACATGAAGGAGGTGAGACTGCCTGCTTCCTTCCATCCCAGACTCTGGGGGGGGGCAGGAGCCACATGGAGACTGGCCAAGCCCTTCTAGGGCCCACTCTTCTGTGATGGCCCTTAGACCCCACATTCAAATCTTCCTCGTCCAGGACTTAGCTGACCCCATCCCTTCTGGGCCGGGCTTCATACACCTGTTATCTCCCAGCACCTGAGTGGGTGGCAGGCTCTGTCATCGATCAATTACCCACTGCTGTGTGTCAAATGCCAGGCCAGGTCTCGCGGGCCACAGATCTGAGGGGACTTCCCGGCCTCAGCTCTAAGTTACTGAACATGGTAACTGCAAGATCAGGGCAGAAGGCAACATCTTCTGCCCCAGGAAACAAGCAGAGGCCATTCGCTGCCCCTGAGAGGTTGCTCCTTGGGCGTGGCCAGACCTCCGGGAATTAAAGAGGGGGATCATTCGGCAAGCAATCCAAACTCCCACTGAAGAGCTTTCTGCTGCTCCAGGACCCCAAGAGGGAGATTAAGAAGATCTTGAAGTTTGTGGGGCGCTCCCTGCCTGAGGATATCATAGATCAGATTGTCCAGCGCACATCTTTCAAGGAAATGAAGAAGAACCCCATGGCTAACTACAGTACTGTGCCCACCGAGATCATGGACCACGACATTTCCGCCTTCATGAGGAAAGGTGAGCACAGGCCTGGGGGTGGTCTGCCCAGGAAGTGGGGTGGAGCCCGCAGGCGAAGCAGACCGGGGCCTCCTCTGCGGTCAGGACCTCAGGCTCCCCTCCTTCTCTCCTCAGGCATCACGGGCGACTGGAAAACCACCTTCACCGTGGCCCAGAACGAGCGCTTTGACGCGCACTATGCTGAGAAGATGGCAGGCTCAAAGCTCAGTTTCCGTTTACAGCTGTGAGTGGCAGTGCTCTGGTGCGAGCGGTTCAAGAACAGGCCTGGTGTGGCCTCAAGAATAAAGTCTGATTTGTGTTAAAATGGAGAGCCTCTGTTGGAAGCAAAAAGAAAATCTGAGCTAGAAGAGTAAGTGCCCACTGGGGCCAATAAGCTGTCTCCCTGCAGCCACCAGCTCCTCAGTTTGCCCTATTGGACAGGGGAAGAGGGTCTGAAGATGAAAAACCCCAGAGACGGATGAGGACATGGTGGGGAGAATATTTATTTGCTCACAGGGAACCTTTTGTTGCCTTTTCCCAGAGGTGCAGCCTGTGTCACTTTTTCTTGGGCTCCTTACAAGCCACCACATACCTCTGGGCCACATTGAGGGGAGGGGAGTAACCGTCTGCATAGGAGGTGTCTTCAAACAGGACCGAATAGTCATCCTGGGGCTGCGACAGGAGGCAGACAGAGGGGCTGTCAGAGACTCCCAGGCGAGGTCTTCCTGTCTTGAACCTGCCCCACAACCTTCACTGGGAACCTCTGGTCCACGGGTTCCCTGTCTCCTGTCCTTATCTTCCACGCTCGGATGCCAAGACTCCAGTCCCTACTGCTGAGGAGTTCCTTTCTTGCAACAAAGGGCTAAGGGCAGGGGACAAAGAGCAGGGAGGTGGGGCCTGGGACCTAAGTCAGGGTTGGGTCATTACTGGCAGCTCTTTGCCCTGACCCCATGTTAAGGTGATCGAGCACAGCTCAGAGGGCATCAAGTAGGTATATGGACGAAGTGAGAGAATGGGCATCACACTGCTATGGACAGTATGGCGTGGGCACTGGCAGAGCCTTGAGCAGCCCCAGGCATATGTATGTCCTCAGTGGTACAGGACACAGGTGACCTGAGGACAGGCCCTGGATGCACTCCCTTCTCAGGGCTCAGCTGTCTGTCTTCTTCTGTGTAAATGCAAAGAGGAGCTTAGGTGACAGGGTTGTGGTGACATTACAGAGCTCATCAGGAGGGCCTCACAGGCCCCTTCCAGCCCAGAAGACATGACAAGGAAAGGTTATGACCTCATGACGCCCTCTGGTCAGCCAGAACATGACATCTTGGGCTGCCTTACCCGCTGCGGAGGCGTGTGAATGAGGGCGCGGTAGAAGCAGGTGGTCTGGGGGTACAGGGCCAGCACGAGCTGTTCCTTCTGAAATAAGGCTTCAGGGTCTGTCTCAGGGTTGGCCTTCCACTGGGGCAGAGGGATGATGCGACGTCGGCTCAGGGTGTGTCTCCTGGGGGTGCAGGGACCTGTGTCAGCCCAGGGTCAGGCACGCAGATGCATCCCCGCGGCCTGGCTGCTGGCAGGCTCTGCACTTCCCTGGCCCCTGATACTCACTCCTTGCCTTCTTCATCAATGTCGTCTACCTCGTACCTGGGGGAAGACAGGAAACACTGGGTGCTATGAGCCATACAGTCCAGGCCGCAGAGGGCTGAGGGGAGAAGGGGGAGAAGGGGGAGCTGCCCCGCCACCCCAGCTCCCGCGGGGAAGCTCTGCAGCCCAAGCAGCGTGAGGCCGGGGGTGTCGCCGGCCGGGTCCACTCACTTGTTGGTGGCATGGCTATAACTGACCACCTCGGCCAGGATCCACTGCTCGTCCCCATCCACAGCCTTCACCCGGGCAGCCACCTTGTCTCCAGGTTTGGCCACGTAGTCCCCTGAGGCTGGGATGGCCCCACACAGCGGGGGCGGCCTGGGAGGAGGGAAACGGTTAGGCCCCCCGGCCTGGGAACACAAGCCGCCCATCGTCCGCCCGAGCCACTCTCACTTGTCTCCGGGCTTTCCGATCCACAGGGGCAGGGTCATGGCCGACTGCTGCAGCAGCGTCATCAGCACCCCTCTGCGCATGGTCTTGCGGGGAGGCTCCGAGTCATTGTACAGGCCCGCGATCTTGGCGGCTGTGGGAAGGAAGGGAGCCCCCAGTTTGCAGACAGGGAGTGAGGCCCTGCTCCACACCCTCCTGGCACCCCTGCTCTCAGAGGGGCTCAGCTTGGAGCCCCTGGCTCCTGAATAGATGGCACTAGATGGTCCATGAAGAGTCTGCCCACAGCTCCTCTAACAGAAAAGAGGCCAGTGGACACAGTCCTTGGGGAAGGGACGAGGGGGACAAAAGGTAGCCTTGTGCTTCCCAGATCTGAGGCTGGTTACAGAACGGTGCCCACTTCCTGGGAAATGCAGTAAGTTTGACACACGTGCACTTTTCTATAAAGTTGGGATTCAAAAACAAGATTGCCCACTGTGGGTCCCTGACCTCTCAAGCATGGCGCAGCCACCCAGCCACTTTCACACAAAACCAGTCTGGCACTGACACTTCTGAGGTGTCCTCCAGCGTGTGTTACGTAAAGGGCAGGGGAGTGAGGGGGTAAGGCCAAGGACTTGCAGCCTCTCACTGTAGACTCCACCTGGAAGGTCATGCCTTCAAGACTCACAGGTGTGGCTCTGCAAGAATGAGTCAGGTTCCCCTCCACCCCCACCCCCGGCAAAAAGGGGAGCAGAGGTGGGGAGGAGGGCGGTGCTGGCTGCAGGGGCAGAAGGCACAAGAGGGCAAGGGCGGGATCCACTTGGTATGACGAAGGGGAACACACGAAACCCCGCCTCTCAGAGGCAGGGAACCGCCTCTGCGCATGTCCCAGTTCCAGACTCACTGGGTCACCCCTGGGGAGGTCGGCACTGAGAGGCAGCCGAGCCCCCCCCCCAAGAAGGGCTGCACCCTCAGGAACCCTCACTGCTCCTGGGCAAGGGACACTGAACTTTCCTGTCAACTCACCAATCCGCCGCTCTTCCAACAGAGACTTGATGTCTGCGATCTTATCTAGAGCTTTCCGGAGGATGCTGTGAGAGGGGAGGGAGGAAGAGGCCTGGGTGAAGCACTCAGCTCAGACTTCCCTTTCCAGGACTGACAGGCTGGGTTTTCTGGACCAAGCCCGCTGCTGCAAACTATAAACACTAAGAGTGTTTCAATCTTCAAAGCAGAGAACTGACAGGCAGTAAGGAAGCCAGGCCAGCATCTAAGAGAAAGCGGGTGCCAGCTGGGAAAGCGAGCCAGAAAGCCGCTTGGGCCCCGAGTGTGCCAGACCAGTACCAAGAAGCGTGGCTGCAATGCTCACAGCCTTGAGACGTGGTGGGTGGAAGTCAGAGCCACTGCCCACGGTGGGACCCCACATATAAAAAAACGAAGAACCCCACAGGGCACTTTGGGAGGGCTGGCTTCATACAAGACAGGCCTCTCTACAAAACGTAGACCTCTGGTGGACATGCAGCCCCGGAAATTTTGAGAATTTTATCTATGGGAGGTCAGAGTTATCAAGAGCTCCAGTTAGAGCTGTCTGAGTCACCTCCAAGCCCTAGTGACATCTGCTGTCACAGAGTAGAACTGTTCCGTCAGGTTCCCAGTGGCCGTCACCTTCTAGAAGCAGATTTATTTTGAGATGCCCCTGGGTGGTTTCAAACCACCAACCTTTCAGCCAGAAGCTGAGTGTTGCCCTTTGCACCACCCAGGGATTCCTCCAGAGTGACAGAGGTGCCAGGACGCTGGCAGAGGCCAACAGGTGAGCCGTTACCCTACACTGGGAAGCAGTTCTCCCATAGGCGGAAAAACTGCAGAAAAAGAACACGGCTGTGGATAGAGTAAGAATGACAGAACGTGCATGCTACAGCCTTAATTTCTGAGGCTAAAGTAACTTTAAAATAAAAAATCAAAACTCATGTCTGAGTTCCATCTTGATTACACCAGAACCTCTAGGAACCACCAGACTTGAGAAGCACATAGGTTTGTGAAGTAGCAGGTTAAAGGAAACCATTGCTGCAGAATCACCAAAGCCTTTAACACTTGTTCTCTGTTTCAGCATGTTAATCCCCACCCACAGTGCCGCTCCGTCGGCAGTGTGCACAGGACGGTCCAGGACAGCCCGGCTTGGTAGATGCCCCTGGACCTGCCTTCCCCAGCTCGCCCTGGAATCACCAAGGCCGCTATGTGCTGTCAGAAGGCTCCCTGAAGACACCATCTGCCCCACTGGCTATTGTGCTTGCGTAGCTGTATTTTTGGAAATGCTTTCTGAACCAATGTTAGGAAACAACTTGTTTCAGGAGGAGGAGGAGGAGGACTCCCTTCCCCCAACTCCACTCTGGTAATCAAGATCTTTGACCCCTGCTGTCATCTGAAAGCCTTTTCAAAACTGAGATGAGCTGTTACATAAAGGCACAGGAGTTCTTTCTGTTTTCTGCAAAGCTGACGTCCACAATACAAAGAACAGCAGCGGTCCTAAGGTTCGGGCTCTGGTTTTGACAACACCTCTAGGCACCTCTTCTATTTCTCTTTAAAAACAAGCTGGTGTCTGTTAAAGCATCGATGAGTACCTCTTCCAGAGTACACACATCTTCCCGCCTGGCCATAGCACTCCTGGTGCCCACGTCGATCTCACCTTTCCTGACCTGGCAAGTGGTTCTAAGAAGGTCACGCTCTGTATTTACTGGGAGCAAGGATGAAGGTTTGAGAAGAGATGGTGAAGGAGAAGTGACGGCAGGATTACAAGGTATCGGTCGCTGTGTGCACAGACCACGTTTGTAAATGTCTGACTCTGGACCTGCCAATGGCAGGAGGTGCCCCCACACTGTCTTCAGAAGCAACGGGCTGCCTGCACCAGCAGCTGGGCAGGGAGGGACAGTTTACCTACACTCTCAAATCAGCATGACATCCTCTGACTTAACACAGGCCACATTTAGAGCCTGGAGAGTGGGAAGGGGGAAGCGTGGGCCAGAAGCTAAGCGGCCGCTGAAATATTCAGGTCGACTCCGCCGTGTGCTCTGGCATGAAGAGCTCCATGAGATGCTTCTGTCCCAGCTGAACACAGAAATCTCTGCTGCTCTCCCAACCAGCCCCCCATCTCAGAAACTACTCTTGCTGCTCAGCTCCAGCGCCATCTATCGCCTGATCACCCAACTTGCTTTGACTCCCACCCGGCTTCCTGCTTTTGAGACATCACTGG